AGGTGCAGTGTGAGCACCAGAGCCAGGCCACCAGGACTGACCACCGGAGGCCGCCGTGCACTGCCCCTGTCTCTCCATGGCTCTCCTACAACGGTTCCTACAATTGCAGGACTGAGGGGACATTATTGGGTCTCCAAAAGGAGGAAATAACATCAGTTCATTAATACTGATCCCAGGCCAAAAACAAACAAAAAAGAATTTGAATCTTCTACACATATTTCTCAATATTATAGCATTTATATGACTGGCACTTGAGTAGTGAGAGAAAAATAACACACATGAACTTTTGCTGGGATGAAAATATCAAGCCAAAAGGAACATAGCTGGAACATTTGTTTGTAATTAGAAGGGAGGGAGAGCTCAAGTTACCCTTGATAATTATTAATAACACACACACACACTACCAAACAAACATTTTTGTTGGTATTGGGGTTTGAACTCAGGGCCTCTCACTTGGTAGGCAAGTGCTCTACCGCTTGTGCGTGTTCTTGGCCATTTTGGGTGTAGTTATTTTCAGATGGGGTCTTGAGCTCAGTCCCTCCCTCCCATCCAGCTTCCTTGCTCAGAGCTGGCTGCTCCCACTCCAGCATTTTTCTGGGTAATTCAAGATGGAGCCCCAGGGACTTTCTGCCCCAGCTGGCTCTGACCCATGGCCTTCCGGGGCTCACCCTGACAGATCTGGCTGTGGGCAGGAGCCACGGTGCTGGCCAAGGCGGCCATCCTGATGGAGGTCAACTGATTACTTCCACAGAGAAACCTCGGGAGGCTTGCTTTGACCCCGGGAACATAATGAACGGGACGAGGATTGGAACTGACTTCAAACTAGGCTCCACGGTTACGTACCAGTGTGACTCGGGCTACAAGATTGAGGACCCCGCGTCCATCGCGTGTGTGATCGGGGCCGACGGCAAGCCCTCCTGGAACCGCGGGCTGCCCACCTGCAATGGTGAGCCCCCCACGGGCCCCACGCGTCGGGCTTCCTGCCCCGTCTTCCTGTCCTCCCTCCCTCTGGCCTGCCTCCGCCAAGTCTCTTGCCCTCCCTCCCCCCCAATTTTCCCTCCTTCCTTACCCCTCCAGCTCTTCCTCCCTGCCCTCTCCTGCTCTCCCTCCTCCTCCAGCTCACCCTCCCTCCCACCTCTCCTCTTCCCTTCCACCCTCCCTCCTTTTCTTCCTTCCCTCCTTCCTCCCTCCCTCCCTCTCTCCCTCCCTCCCTCCCTTTCTTCCTCCCTCTTTCCCTCCCTCCCTCCCTCCATCCCTTCCTTCCTTCCTTCCTTCTTTCCCTTCCTCCTTTGCTCCCTCCTCCCTTCCTCTCTCCCTCCTTCCCTCCTTAAAGAATAAGAAGGCTCCCCGGGGGCTGTGATTCGTGCTGGTGCCCTGGGTCAGCACACAGTGAGTATGAGCCTCATCTCCATTGCCTCCTTAGCTAGGGTCGGAGCTGCTCTTCTTGATTCTGGGGAACGTGACCCCTCTTTGAGTCAGATCACTGGTGACTGTAAACTTTCATTGTTTTGGTATTCTTTAACAAGAGGTACAAATAACTCTTGTCTAGGTGCTTTTCTCCTGATAGATAAAAACATCAATAATAGATAAAGGGAGGAGAGACAGAGACGGAGACGGAAAGTCACGTAGAGTCAGAGAGACAGATTTGAATACTACACACATTTCTGGATGGACCTGCCTTTTCTCCATAAGGCACCATGGGAGTCTCACCTGACAGGGCCCTGTCACACCCAGCGGAAGCTGGCATCTTGTTGGCAAGCCCGGGCCGCCGTTCTCGTGTGTTTGAGCTCTGATCTTGTTAAGGATTCTCTTCCTCCACACAGGAATGCCCCCCATTCTGTCCCCAGACACAGTAAGTCTGTGGGTCTAGCTGAAAACATACCTCAGATAATGTCCTTGATAAGAGTAAGTTACCGGTTACTGATGATTTGGGCATCAACATGTTGGACCAGCATTAATTTTTTTCCATTTTTTGCTTATACTTCTTGTATAAAATTTGTAATGGGGTAATTCTTTTTATCTAGAAAGTAGATATTTGAAGCATTTTCTACTTGAAATGTATAGGACTAAGCTAAAAGGAAATTAAATTCTAGTGTTCACTTTTTTATTTTTGAAACACTGCCCTTTAGAACTTCTTAGAATAAAGATTTTGTTCTAAATTACCAGATGCGAGTAATAAATGTGAGGACAAAATGAAATTGACAGATCAACATGCAGAAGGAAATCCACAATGTATTGGAAGTCTTTTGCTTTAGGGATTAGATTATGGTATCTTCCTGTGCAAATGAAAATAATATTTCTTCCCTTTTTTTTGGTACCAGTCCTGGGGCTTGAACTCAGGGTCTGGGCACTCTCCCTGAGCTCTTTTGCTGGTGGTTAATTGGAGATAAGCATTTCCTGAACTTTCCTGCCCTCCCAGGCTGCCTTCAAATCATGATCCTCAGATCTCAGCCTCCGGGGTTGCTGGGATGGCCGGCGTGAGCCACCGGTGCCCCACTTGACAATATTTTCTTTGTAAGGTGTGAAAACACCAGTACTATGGAGCAACAGAATTAATGTGTTAGCAGCATGGCTATGCCTAGTTGGGCAAAGGATCTACGAGATGTTGGGAAGAGACCTGAGCTGTCTGCTGTCTGTGCTGTTTCCTTTGACTCACAGTGTAACTTATGACCACACTAAGAGGCAGATTTGGGACACTTGACATCTGGGCTACCATCTTCTGGGACTTTCTTAGTCATGAGAGGGTTACAGGCGCTAGCTCTAATTTCTACAAAAGCAGTGCACTGAAGAAATATGAGGAATGGAGAAAGGGCAAAGGAGGAAGGGCAAGGAGGTGGGGAGGGGGCGGGGAGGAGGCAGAGGTCCCCACAGGGTGGATGTGCAGTCACAGCACTGCCACCCGTCCTGTGTAAGAACAAGAGGAGGAAGAACTTAAACCTTTCCAAATCCTGTTACACAATTTGTAACCGTGGTGTCTCAGGCCTCCTCAACCTATACCACACACACACACACACACACACACACACACACACACAGCAATTGCTTGTTGGAGAGGGGTCTTAGAAGCAATCCCTCAAGATAGCCCACGGGGACCCTCACCCTCTGGTCCAAGGCTCCTCGGGTGGGCTGCGCCGTTCACCAGGACACCTGGACCTGGGAGGAGGCCCAGTCTGCTCTCCGAGGACGGCTATGCACGTGGAGACCACACAGGCTTCTGTTTTCTCTGCAAATCAGTGCTGAATTCAATACAATACTTAGAGGAAAAGAATGAAATGCACACGCACCTATACCTCAGCTCTGTGCGTGTGTGCATGTGCACACACACAGGTGGGCGTATATACGTGCTCACATCTGTGTACCCATGCACACATACACATATGTACGCACACACTCACACATACCTGTACACACCTTGGTTGGACTTCAGGGATCCCAGAGCACGACCCCCGATGCTGCTTGTTAACTGAATCTGAGGTGAATAGCGAAAACAAAACCTACTCGAGAAATACTGCTTTTCCTTTCAGTCTCTTGTGAATACTGGAAGAGTAGGAAATGGGAAAGATCTTTGCCCCTCTGTGTAACCATCATGGCTGGGCTCAACCAGACAAAGCTGGGAGGCCTTTTAAACCATCTGAGTATTTGTCTTTATTGAGTCACTTTGAGCACGACTGTGGCTGCTGTGTTTTGAGGCGGACGTGTCTGAGCCAGGTCGCAGACTCAGTGTGAGTCCTGACTCTGCAGAGTTCTCCGTTCTGACGTGAAAGCTTCCCCCTCACACATCCACTCTTCAGCACACCCTGCGGGGTGCGGGCTGCAGGGTGCGGGCTGCGGGCTGCAGGCTGCAGGGTGTGGGGTGCAGGGTACGGGGTGCAGGGTGCGGGGTGTGGGGTGCAGGGTGCAGGGTGCGGGCTGCGGGCTCCAGGCTGCAGGGTATGGGGTGCAGGGTATGGGGTGCGGGGTGCAGGCTGCAGGGTGTGGGGTGCAGGGTGCAGGGTGCGGGGTGCGGGGTGCAGGGTGCAGGCCCCGGCGGGTAGAAGCTGCCTGTCACGGCGGGCGGTGCTCACTCCCAGCTGGTTTGCCTTGCAGCTCCCTGTGGGGGTCAGTACACGGGCTCCGAGGGGGTGGTCCTGTCACCCAACTACCCCCACAACTACACCGCGGGACAGGTCTGCCTCTACTCCATAACCGTCCCTAAGGAATTTGGTAAGGCATGATTTTCCATTTGTTGTCATATGTTTTTCAGTGCTGAACTTTTCTGTCTTTTGATAAAAAGAAACAGCTCTCGATAGAATAAGGTAATATAATGATGCACAGATGACTTGCTATCAGGCTAATTAAAAGACCTAGGCATTGGGCCTTTGACAAGACAATAATTTATTTGGGAGATGTGGGTAGGGAAGGATGGGTGGGGAGGACCAGGAGGGAAGTGGGAGAGTTCTTCCCACTGTAACCAGGCACCGAAGGAAGCTGTTCCCACTGGTTTATCTGCTGGGGAAGGTCACCTTGCCAAGAGCCTCCCGAGCTTCTCCCTGGGAATTCTAAAGTCAAAATGCAAGATATTCAGGAGAGCTGGGTTCTCTTCCATACACAATGCTAGTGCAAATGAACATGCGTGTCACCAAAGCCTCACAGGTCTGGTCCTGGCCAGGCTATGTTTTCGTGGAATCAGTTTTCATGCAAATGAACATGCGT